GAAAAAGGTTTAAGGGGTTGAAAAAATGGAGCTTAAAAATACATAACATGTTATGATATGATTTTATAAAACTAGAAGACTAATCTAATGATTTTACAACATTTGTGGATTGGAATAAACACAAACAATCACCAACGAAACGCACTTTAGACTTAAAAATCAAGCACATTTAAAATGAAAATAAGAAAACTAAAAAAAGAAAAGAAACAAACGAATGATTATAAAAACAAGATAGACAGCTACAGTCGAGCAAGCCCGACAGTAAAATACCTTTTACTCTCCAAAAAAAAAAAAAAAGGAAAATTTATTTTAAAAATTTAATTGATTAATTAAAGTAAAATATTCAACATACATACAGTGTGTTTTTGTAAGATACATCAGAATCGTGTCTCTGCGTAAATTAACATGCCAGTATAAATATTTGGAAGATGAGGAAGAATGAAATATGTATTTGATGAACAACTTACAGCTACGAGTACCACTGTGCGAAGGGCCTGCTTGTAAGACAAAATTGCAACCACTATGTAGGACAGCAGTGGCCAAGCTTTACTGATATGCAAATGGCGAAATGAGCCAACTTGTTTACAAGCATCACATTGTACACACAAATACATACACCCACACACACACACACACACACACACATACATATGTATAACGACAAATATGTTTGTTTGAGAGCCACAGAATGAGACAATGTCAGGCTTTGCTGCATGTTCGTTGTTGCACCACCAATGCAGTCAATAAAATCAAAGCAATAATGTTAGCAATGTTGTTCCTCAACAACTGGTACATCAACGTATCTACATGCAAGAACTATATATATATATATATATGTATTGTACTCGTGTGTGTTTGGGTGTGTGTGTGTAGGCGCACTATTTGTTTATAATAATGCCCAGTAGTCTGCTAAACAATCAAATTAGGCAATGGCAATGACCAATCTCCCCCACCCTCCGCCCCCCAACCCAGACTACGATTGGCCTTGTTGTTGCTGCTGCTGTTGTCCTCGTCGGCAATCTAATTGACAGTTATGAAGATTGTCAAACATATGTATAATTATAACACTCGCTCTATATCTGCCCGCATTGATCTGGGTTTGTGTGCATGCGTGTTTGTTAAATTATTCACTGAAGTGTGGCTTTATATAATCGTTGCCTGCCTACACACACACACACACACACACAGAGAGAGAGAGGGAGAGAGACACTCGCACACACCCACAAACACTCACAGTCTCACATACATACCTCGTAGTTCGAGGCCCGCACATGTCCATTCGTTTTATAAACATGTTAATCCAAATGTAATGGGCATAAGAATGACTCATTGAGATGCATTGTTTCTGGTCAAACTATTGCCAGATGTTGCCACAGGAGTGTGCAGTTGAATAAATTCGTTTACCTATTGATTCATTCGGATACTACATAGTGGAATATAGGAACTGTGGAACTCTATAAGAACTGTGGCAATTGAAAAGGAACCAAATTCTATATTGCTAATCAATCCGAATCTCTAAAGCTTAGTTATCATTTAGGACACATTGGTCTAATGGATGCAAAGATATATAAATTTGAAACTTCAATCCTTTGCCTTTGCATTATAAGCAAGTTACAAATTCAGAATATCTTCAGAATAGCTATGTTTATCTGGAACTGAATGTGTAAATTATTAATAAAGATTCCAAGTCAAGAAATTGTTGAACCGATTGTTGAAATTATGCATATAATATGTTGCATGTCATATTTTTAAAATAAATATTTGGCGTTTTTGCCAGAATAGTTTTGTCGAAAAGAAATGTGTTTTTAAGGGCACAACAGTTTCTTATCTGCAGTTCAGAAATACAATTATTAACATTAGCAACTCATTTTAACGCCCTTTTAAAACTATTTCCCACACTATATATTGTTTTTGATATTCACCGACACATTCATCTAATTTTAAAGTTTCCTTATTTTATGCTACCTGAACTTAGTGTGCTGGCTGACATTGTACTTTCGGGGCATTCGTTCGGCATATGAAATAGTACTCGTATATCAAGTATACGAAGCTTTGTGCAGCGAATTCTCGAGTTTATCGAAATTCAAGTGAAATAGAAGCAACGTTGATGCATCGAATAGGCAGTGTGCCACATCAAATTGAATTAATGCGGCATATATCACAAAATCATAACACACACACAAACACACAGGCCCACAGACGTGAACAGCCATGGAAATTAGGAGAGAGTTGGCTTATCATTGTGTCAGTTTAGTATGAGATGAGTGTCTTTCCGTCCCCTTCCGCAGACCTTGTGACTAACTGTCTATCTGTTTCTCCGTCCCTTTATCTGTCTGTTGGTCTGTCTGTTTGTTTGTTTGTCTGTCTGTCTGTCTGTTTGTTCGTCTGTCTGTTTGTATGCCTGCCTGCCTGCCTGCCTGCTTGTCAATCACTCAGTCAACGCCAGTAGCAGCATCCGCCTCATTTGGCCCAAGTGCTTGCTCATCAATGGCAACGTCTACGTCTTGCCCTGCCCTGCCGTGCCTGGCCCCTCTCCCCCGGCTCTACATCCATCCATCCCTCCATCCCTTTTCGTGGAGTATGTCCACTGTCCATTTCGTTGCGTTGTTCACACATTAAATTAGTTCAATTTGTGGCAGGCCCAGTCGCATTTAATGTGTGGCCGGCCATGTGGGCGAGCGTGTTTGTGTGCAGCCAGCCTAGTTGTTGATTATTGGTCATATCACAAGCTTACACAAACACACACTTAACCACACATACACAAAAGCATATGTAGTATTGTAAGAGTACGAGTATGTGTTTGTGTAGTGGGGGCCCACACTACTCGCATACTGCAGCACAAACATAATGAAGTTGTCAACATAAAACAACTCAAAACAATTTTCATTTGATTTGATTTTGATTGCGTTTTATATTAATGCCCCACAGTGGCCAGCAGCATGCGAGGACATTCGCACACATTCTTCTCTCATCGCATTATCACACATTGTCGCTGATGTCCTTCCCTGCCCTGCCCTGTCCTGTCCTGCTTCCCCCCACCCCCCACAAAAGCTTAACCTTTGTCTTTTGTATGCGTGAATGCCACATTTGTTGCCATTCGATTTTGCACACTTGTCTGCTGGCATTTGGCTTTTTGTGTTGATTGAAGCTCATGAAAATTATACAACATTTTGTGGCAGCAGCTGAAGCGGTTGGTCTGTTTATCAACAGCAATAACGGTATAAAAACGAAAACTAAAAGTGGCAACAACACCAACCATCACCATTGCCATCACAGAATCGTCGAGAGTCGAGCCACAAGGCGATTCTTTTGCATTTTGTAATAGTTTCTGTCTGTCAAAGTCCTGTGGCAAATTTATGAAAAGCTGTCAGCGTGCATCGTTCACTAGAAAAGCTGCCATAATAATAGCAGCAGCAGCAGCAGCATCAGCAGAAGCAACAACAACAACAAAAACGCTAAAAAGCGGGGCAAGGAATTTCAGAACGATGGCAAATAAAAATGCGGGCTCTGCTAAATGCATTGCAATCAGCCACGCCCATGACTGACGCCCACACTCATCGTCAGAAGCATCGCCACACTCCCATACACACATACAAAGCGCCCGCATGTGGCACACACACACACACCCATGCATATATATGTATGTGTATATTTTGTGCTATTTACTCAAATTTCATGCAATACTCAATAAAACAACAACGACAACTAAGGCAATGAATCAAATTAGAAACCAAGTGTGTAGCTTTGTGTGTGTGTGTATGCGTATGTGTGTGAGTGGACATTGCCAAAAATGTCAGTGACCTGGAAGAAATATAAAATAAATCGAAACAAGATTGCAAAAATCAAAGTCAACAACAATCAACGCCAATGCCAAAGCCATCAACAATACAGGCCAGCTGCACCTCTTCTAACCCACCGAAGCCCCCTGCTCCCTGCCCCTTGCCCCTTGCCCAGTGCATCAATCTCAAAGCACCACCCAGCGACCTTCCAGCAACCGCTTGCTCAGTTAGTCAACCCGAAGGCAACTCTCTCAACTCTCACTGTTCAATGCTCGATATTCGATGTTGTTGAAGTGCCCGCGCCAAAGAGGCAGCCAAAAACAATAGTGGAAGCCACGACAAGAACAACACGGCGAAGCAACAACAACTACAACAACAACTACAATATGGGTATTGTAAAAACAGCAAGAATCAGATGAACGGGAACAGCGTGACAGCAGAAAAAAAACAGAAAGAGATATATTATATCGTGCATGCATCATATACTCGTATACTATATATTCTTGACCAACACCACCATCATCATCTTCATCAGCACCATCATCTTCATCATCTTCATCATCGTCGTCATCATCGTCGTCATCATTGCTGGATGTTCGGATGGCTGGCACAGTTAAGTAGATAGACAGATGGATGGCTGAATAGATTGATGCTGACTGTGCTGAGACGTTGGCCTGTGTTGATTGGATGAAGCGAGAGAAAGCTCAGAGCTGAGATAAATGTGACTGAGATGATGTGATGCTTGATATTTGATGCTTGAGCCAAAGCATAAAGCAGACGTGGATGATGTGGCTGCTTCAACCAAGAGCATGATTTGGCCTAATTAGAGCATCACACACACACACACACACATAAGACACGATGAACTCGTGGCAATTTAAAGTGCAAGTAATTTGATTTGAATCAGATGCCAATGCTGCATTATATTATGAGTTCGCTTCATGGCCCCTATAAGTAAAGTAGCAGGAATGGGAGCTCCAATGCTGGCTGTCCCAATGGCTAAGTTCGCAATATGTGGAACAGCAGCTTGGTTTTCTGCTAATTGTATACACTATCATCACATCATCATTGAACATTCTGCTGATCTAGCAAGTTGTCAAGTTCGGTTTGCAAAAAAGCTACCTTATATTACAGATCATTTATTCTAATAAGAAGATGCATATAGTAAACTATTCGTTTTTCCTAACTTTTTTTGTAGACAGCTATACAGCTATGAAATTTCAATCAGCATTCATTTATTTTCAAGAGAGCATTCAATCAATCGCACACACACGCTCAGAACAGGCTCAGCAAATAAAATAAACACAAGTTTATTGTTACAAGATATTTTTCAAGTCCTCTAACAAACTATGGACGATAACGAGAATGAGAATGAACCAGTTCAGGATGTTGCACAAGTGCATATTGTAGTGCATATGGAGGCAGAAGAAGATAACTGGGAGGCATCAGATTCGGATTACTCATACAGCAGCGATGACGACGACGCATCCGACAACCCAGATGGAGACCTAGATACTGATTCGGACTATAACGACATAATGGACATGTATGGGTTTGAAGGTACCTAGTATTCGCCAGCAGATGTCGAACACACTTACATTTGTCTACACTTTCAGATTTTGAAGAATAAACCACCCAGGTCTACGCAAAACAATGCATCCAATTTAAAATTTATCAGCGCAACGTATTCTCCATCATCATGTAAGAGCAAAGCCCGATTACCAGGATTACACATAAAGACGTTTATGAAATACTTTCAGAACTTATTTTCAAACAACCTAAAGAACGCCGCTTTCACAATAGTCCCTGAACATCAATATCCCGCCATCAGGAAATCAATAAGCTGTGACTTTCTTCTTCGCGAAAAGAACAACATACCAATTATAATGCTTTAGCAATTATTATCAAACATCCAAAAGGAATGTGACTTTTCAACGAGCACACAAACGAAAAAATTCTATTTTCTTATAATTAGTCAAGAAATTAATGTTATAATTACAAATAAAATGTTGCAAACACAAACTAAAAATTCCGCAGGCTTCAAAAGAATATCAAAGCGTTTTCTTAAATTTGAGAAAGCAGTCGTTCAATCAGTCAATCAATCAGCCACGACTGAATGAGTGTAGACAAACAGTTTAAATAAAATCACGATCGATCTAATGCTGCTGGCATATTCGCTTGGAAAACAAATTATAGCTTACATTTGAGCGCCCCATCTAGAATGCAACGTGTGCAGTTTGTGAAGCTTGCAGCTAGTTAAGCTGCCTTTTACGCTGCCTTGCTTTGCAAACCAACATCAACATCAATCACAACGAGCAACAATAGCAACAACAACAATATGACAACCGCAACCTCATCATCAAAGGCCTCCGCATCAGCACCAGCACCAGCACCGGCATCAGCTCAGCATCAGCATCAGCATCCTCATCATTTATAGTCGTCATCGCTTTGGTTGGCATCGCTGCTTTCGTGGTGAGCTTTGTCAGCAGCAGATGCATCAATAGCAGCGCCGTCAGCGTCAGCAGCAGCAGCAGCGGCAGCGTCTACGCCATTGCCATTGCCACTGCCATCACCATCACCATCGCCATCGCCATCTTCATCAAGGGCGTCAACCAAATGCAGAAGTTGAACTGCAATTGGAAATGGTATTGAAAGCACTGAGCACTTGCTGTCGCTCAGTGTTAGTCCACATGCGTTCACATACTATATTTATATGTGTATCCGTGTATCTGTGTGTGCGTTCGTGTGTGTGAACAGGTTAGCTGTAATGTGCGCGTGTGACGCATGTTCCTATGAGGCGCTTGGCACCGAGAAGGAAAAGATAAGGAGGAAAAATTTCACAGAAATCGTCGCTGCATTTTCGCAAAAACCTCTTGCATATGCAGATTGAACTCTTTGGTCGTGCAGGCATCCACATATGTGTGTGTTTGTTTGTGTGTGTGCGTGAGTGCCTTGCAAATCAAATCAACTGAGACTGCAGTCACATCGTCTCGTCTTATAACTGTTGCAATTTGCCGTTTAGAGGCCAGGCCACGTGTTTCCTTCAGGCGTCAATTGCCTACCTGACGACGACGACTGACGACTGACGGCTGACGGCTGACGACTCAAACAGCTTAGATGCTGCAGCATCACACAGACACACATGCACACATTTATACACTTCGAAAAAGAAATGATTGAGAATCGAATATGAATACCCCAGCTATTCTTCCCCTTAATGGAAACTGTACTTGTTTTTGGTTTTCAACTGGTATTTGCATTTTGGCATTTGACATTTTTTGATCATCTTTAAAGGAAAATCCACAGTAGTTTGCCAAAACACATGGTATATATGAAATAGAGCTCTAGTGTTGACCAAAGTAACAATAATAGGTAACAATCGTTGGAGGAATTTTGCTAAAAAGCTAGAGACATGGAAAGGATATATTATCTGAAGGAGAGATGACAAATAATTTGATTCCTTCAATTTGTAGTGAAAGAAATAATTATACAACGCAGCATTCGTAATGGTCGATGCGAGGCCAAATTGTTCTGTTTATTTCCAAAGCATTTAATCGAAAGTTTCTAGAGTCTGAGCAAGCATTCTTAGGATCATCATTTCTTGAAACCATGAGCAGATTTGGCTTCATGAAATTTTAATTGCTCGATAACATAATCTCTATTAATACCTCTATTAACCACATTAGTTTTATTTAGGTTTCACATAACCTTACAATTTATTGAAAAAAATACCTGTTTTTCTACTAGAATATGATCGATTGTATACTTAATAACAAGGGACCCCATTATTGGTGTCCACTTCCTTCTAAAAAGTTGAAAAGAATTAAGCAATCATGTCTTTGCCATAAATCGTTGAAAAAACAAAAGGTAACTAAACCACTCCTTACCAGCGGTATGTGAGCTCCCTTACATCGTCTCATCAACGCTTGAGAGTTGTGTTGTACTCACAAAAATTCGACCCCAAAATGGGGGACAGTTGTGTTGTGATAGAAGAAGGAAAAGTTAACACTTTTGCATACAAGCCCTTAAAACCATCTTCCAGCTTAGGACCCAAAGCTGCTTTTGTCCTGCATATGTGTGTTTGTGTGCGCTGCTTGTATTGTCAGCAAAAAACTTCGACACATTGCACATAAGCGCGCGAATGCGAGCGCAAGTGATATAAAAATGAAGAAATTATATGGCACCTCGACTGCAGAAGCCACGGCAACAACAAAAACGACTGTGATTTGTGCACACCTGCTATAAGCACACACACACACACACACACGCACACACACATTCACACACATGCTGTGTGAGATGCGGGCTGCATGCACTTGAGTCGGGTCGGGCGATAGGGGCAAGTCTGAAGGATTATGCTGAAAGGTAAATAAAACAACTTGGCGTGGCCTCGCATTGCACGGTCCCACATGCATATCTTCAACATTCTCACACACGCGCCCCCTCTTTCTCTTTCTCTATCTCTCTCATTCTCTCGCAATGATGCTGGCGTTAGAGAAAGTTAAATTAAAAATGTCAAATTGCATACATTTAGGAGCTAATGAAATAAGTTAAGCGACAGCAACAACAATACCAACTATGTTAAGTACACTACACACACGCACACACACACACCCCCTAACACAAGCATACATGCTCGTGTATACGCACGCACACAGACACACACAGATGCAGCAGCTTCAACATACCCAGTAGAACTTGATAGTGGAGCTACAGAATCCAGATTTGGGGACTGGCTAGAGCGTCGAACGGTTCCAGACGCTCCAGAATAAAGCATTGCGGCTTATCACTGGGTGCGACTGATGCGTCGGATCCACGCTGCACCATGACCTAAATCTGGAGACCGTGGAGTTCCAAATAAACCAGCACACCAGTCGATATACACCTGCCCAATTAGTCGACTAAAGATACTAAACCCAAATAGTCAAATATTTTCGCTACAAGTGTACACGTATAGTATGTAATGTAAATTGTAAAATTTTGGTCTCCTATATGTATGTTAAATGTTATGTTATGGCCTAAATTTGGAGGCCAATTCACAATAATAATATTTATAAAACAAAGGTTAAAAAAGAAACTGCTCCAATGCCCGCTTTTTCTCATAGTTAAAAGTTTGCTTCGGAGAGTACTTCCTCAAACGCAAATATTTCATGGTTGTAAGTTTACTTTGGAGAGTTCTGCTACTTCCTCAAACGCTTTTTTTCTATAGCTGTAAACCTCCTTTGAAGTGTAGTGGACTTGGACGCTCGGACTCTCTTTCGATCTACCACAGCAATGTGCCGAGAGAACAAATTGAGGATGCGATAATGTTATGTTACAAGTATTTACCAGCCATAGCAAAAATACGCATCAGTATTTCTTTCATTTTCAACTCCGACAAACGGGGCTCTCGAGGGCACTACTGGGTATCCCCCTCTCTGATTTTCAGTATATGTGCAATGCAATTTGAATTAATTTGACTTTTTTATGAACTTTAACTATGCCAACAGCAGCGAAGCTGGCTTGTTTATGTAGTTTTTGCTGCTTCAGTTTTTGTTCCTGCCGTTTCTGTTGCAGTTGCTATAATTACTGATGTGGTTGTTGTTGCTGTTTTCATTCTCGTCAGCAGCGCAAGACGCATTCATGTTATTCACTTATTTAAATTGTATTTTCCATTTATTTTATTCCCTTTAAATTTCTTCCCGCATATTTGCCATATGTGGACATACTACTATTATTATGTTTGTGTGTTTGTCGGCTTGCTAATACATACAATATGTGTGCTAACATGTTAGTTATGCAGCTGATTTAAGTGCGCAAAAGAGTTCAATCCCGTGCCACATGCTGGGCCTAATTTGTGGCCACTCTTAGGAGGCACAGGGTAACTTCCTACCACTCGTTTGAGAAGGAAACTGCAGAATTCGTTTTTAATTCCCAATATCTTCCTAACCATTAATAGATACAGGTGAGAAAATAGGAGTAATAACCAGCTGTTATGTGACAAGGAAGTTATCTGCGTCTGGGGAAGCTAGCTATATGCTTTTCACTCTCCCTTGCTTTTTTTTCATTCATATTCTTTATTTTATAGTGGCCAGCAGCACAAATGTGCCATTTAAAAATAATATCGTCAGGAGGACAGAGACCGTCAGACTGAAGAATATGTGCAAAGCAGGAGTAGGTATTGGAACTGACAGACAGACGAACAGACGGACATCATGATTTAAATTCGTCTCGCTATGCGGATCATATATAGTCTTTTCCAATCATCCTTAAGAAGGTTACGAACTTTCACACAAAAATACTTTTAAGTATATAGTACAGTATGGTATGCAAAATTACATTCATTGCTATATTTTGCATATTTGGTCAATCAAGCAGATGTTTCTTAGATCCATGCCTCAATTAAACAAGCTTCTTATTTAATCAAGCCAGTTTCTAATTGAGTATAATTAACCTTAATATATTTGAATTTAATGTCACATGTTTGTCTCTATAAGTAAGATCTCATTTAAGCTGCCACAAATAAATAACGACTAGAGGAGAACAATTTCATTCTGAAACCCTTTTTACAAATAAGGTCGTAATAAATACTGTCACAAGTCTCCACATTCCTTATGAGTTCACCTGTGCAGCAGGCAATTGGGAGGCACTTATTCCACCTCGATTACGAGACTGATCAGATCAGACCTACTCTTCAATGAAATATAAGTGAATTCATATGTATTGGGACCCGCCACGCCTTGTGTGACAAACATTCGCACTAAATTAGTATATCCTCTCACCCTGTGGGTACAGGGTATAAAAACTTTATATAATTTCAAAGATATCTGATTACTTACTCGCACCATTTCTCTCGAACATGGTGAGGTGTTGGCATGCCTCCCTTTTAAGCTGAAAATGTTGATGGTAAATGCATGAATAATTTCCGTTCGCAGAATCCGAAATTTAATAATAATAATGGACCAATTATGCACTTTTCACTGCGGTGGCTTTTAAATTTAAATTGGCCTTGCGAA